TTTTTTTTTTTTTTTTTTTTTTGAAGTAATGAAATAGAATTATATAAAAGAACATGGCGTGATTGGTGGTGACTGTGCTAATACTGTTATGTCTTAATCTGTTACAGACAGCCCTTCCTGCTATTTTCTTATTCTTTTTAAGGTTTTTGTCTTTTTCATAATTATTATAAATAAATTAATAGTTTTAGATTTTTCTTTTTCTTTTTTTAAGATTTTATTTCTCTTTCCTAGTAAGTGGTTGGTCACTCATTTCAGAACAAATTTTAGATTAATAAATTTGATAGAAAATAACAGTCATCTCACGAACAAGGACTATGTGACACCTCACACCATACCTTATAATAAAAAAGCATATAATAAAAATAAATAATATAATAATAAAGCATAGGCCAAAAAGCATCTGCCCTGCGTATCAGATTTTCCATACATGAGAACGTGCACACCATTATTGATTCCATAAATAATATATGCTATGATTTTCGAATTATCTGAATATTTTTATATATATAGTATATAGTATTGATATTATAGCATGGTTTTTGTCTCTTAACCCAGCCACGCATTAAAACTATATATTATAAATATCAACTCCAAAGATTTGATAATTTTAGATTACGGTTGTGCTACTAAACCACTAACCACCCAGCATTTGCCCAAACTCAAATCTATATGTCGGCCGCTTTCTGGGCGTCGAGTGTGCTTCTCTCGCCGTCGCCGACATGTCGGATGGGGTTATTAAAGATTCAAACACATGTTCTCCTTAAAATCTTATCCACTTTTTCTTTTTTGTTAAAATAAAAATACCTTTCCAAGGAGTAAAATTTAATAGGAAGGGCATGGAGCCACCGATCAGCCAAAGTTCACATGCGAGAGAGCACTATCGACACTACTAGTCAACGCAAGAGTTTGCGATATTCATTTAATCAGGGTACGATTTTGACCAATTAATTTAGAAAAATTTAAGCTTGAACTAAGAAAAGGAAATGAGTAAAATAGAAATTCAATTAAATATAAAGATTCAAATTAAATTTTAGAATTATCTAAATAGTTAATCATAAGATAATACGAAGAAAAAAACTATATTAAATTATCGTTTAAAGAATGTTAAGTATTAAAAATTCAACGCCCGAACCCGAAACTGAAGAATAATGAAATTTGAAAGCAAGAAAAAACAAGGTCAACATAGTAGTTGAGGAAGCCAGTTCATGATCTCCATTATCAACTTGGAAAAAAATGAACACAAAATAAACTAAGCCCGTCAATTAATTAGTATAAATTCCTACTAATTAAATGTATGATAAACATATTATCAAAATTTTTACACTAATTTCAGTTAATATAATAATAATTATTATTATTATTTTAGTTCAAACTATATATATAGAACAGAATTTAAGTTGATTTTAAAAATAGGATAATTTAATTGATGTGTTTATTGGTATGATTAAATTGAAATAATAGACTAAATTGGTAATTAAAGTATAATAATAAGAGGAAAAAGAAAGAGATTGGGCAATTTTAATAGTAAATTACCAAAAAGACAAGTTTGGGAGGAGAGAGAGAGAGAGCGTGCAAACACGACATGTACAAAGCGGAGCACGTTAGAATGAGGGGCCATGGTCGGTTGGTGTTGCAATGCTATCCTTCCTTTTCATTTCTTTTCTTCTCTTCTCTTCTTCTTTCACTTCAAACTCCCTCGATAACCTCTCTCTCCCTCTCTCCCTCTCTCTCCGATGAGGAAGCTTTGTCCCAACTTCGACAGGGAAGACGGCCTCGACACTGTCCTTGAGGTTCCCATCCCCGAGGAGATGTTCTCTTGCAACACCAACAAAGCCCACGCTATCTCATGGCAAGCCATGAAAACATGGGTCAAATCCAACCATCACGACAAATCCTCACATGTTAATTCAATCGCCTCCTTATTCGGCGGCCGCAACGCCGAGATCCAGCTCCTCCTCGGCGTCGTCGGAGCTCCCTTAATCCCACTCCCCATCATTTTTCACCACCAGCCCATTACTTGCAACATCAAAGACAATCCCATTGTAAATAAAATTCATTTTTTCTCAAACTCCTTTTCAAATCTCAGTAATCCCATTAATGTTTCTTTGTTGTTTTCTGGGGATTTAACAGGAGGCGTCAATGGCGAAGTACATAGTGCAACAATACGTGGCCGCAGTGGGAGGGGAGCATGCCTTGAATTCGATTGATAGTATGTATGCCATGGGGAAGGTGAAGATGGTGGCGTCGGAGTTTTCTTCCGGCGAAGCGTGTTTGAATGGTAAAGCGACGAAGGTAAAGAACGGGAAAGGCGGCGGCGGCGTCGTCGGCGGCGGAGAAATGGGTGGGTTTGTAGTGTGGCAGAAACGGCCGGAGCTATGGTGTTTGGAACTGATGCTGTCGGGGTGTAAAATCAGCGCCGGTAGCGACGGGAAAGTGGCTTGGAGACAAACTCCTTGGCATCACTCTCATGCTTCTCGTGGCCCTCCACGTCCGCTCCGACGATTCTTGCAGGTAAATTAATTTTTATATTTTTTAAAATAAAAAATAAAAAAATAATATTATTCGGAGTTACTAAATTATAAGCGTATTTGGTGGAAAAGCGCTTCAACGTGCTGGCTACCACGGTTGAAAATAATCCCCCCACCAACTCTCCATAGTTTTGCTTTTTAACCTAACAATTTCAAAAATAATAATAAAAAAAACTGAAAATACCAAAATTATGAATGGGCCGGAACTTGCCTTCAACTTCCCGTCTTGGGCCGCAAAGGCCCAAATATATAATGGGCTTCTGTTTCTGTCTCCGAAATGGCCCAAACATATGATGGGCTTTTCTCTGTCTCATCAAATTTCCTGACCTAGAAGATTTGTTTAACACGGCAGGGACTGGATCCAAAATCGACGGCGACTCTGTTCTCAAACTCGACCTGCATCGGCGAGAAAACGATCAACGACGAAGATTGCTTCATTCTAAAACTAGAAGCCGAATCGCCAGTCCTACGCGCAAGAAGCAGTAGCAGCGTTGAAATAATCCGCCACACAGTTTGGGGATATTTCAGCCAAAGAACCGGCCTCCTCGTGGAGCTAGAAGATTCGCATCTCCTCCGAATCAAAGCCGGAGGATCACGAAACGACGATATATTCTGGGAGACGACAATGGAAACCCTAATTCAGGACTACAGAACGATCGACGGCGTAAACATTGCACACGCTGGAAAAACAACCGTCTCGCTTTTTCGATTTGGCGAAAGCGCTGAAGGCCATTCGAAAACGAAGATGGAAGAGACTTGGGAGATCGAAGAGGTTGATTTTAATATCCAGGGTTTATCGATGGACTTCTTTTTACCTCCCAGCGATTTGAAGAAGGAGAAGGAAGGAGTTGGTGCAACGAGTAATGGAAAGTTACCGTTGACGATGAGATGTGCGGCGGCGGCGGCTGCTGGTTCGAAGATTTGTTCGTCAAGAGTGGCGGCCATTGATGTCGATGAATCGGAGGGCAGTAATCAGAGTGATGAAGATGAAGAGGCAGAGCCGTGAAGAAATATATTTAAATTTTGAAACTCAAATTTTTGAAAATTTGTACATAATCCATGATTTTATATATATGTAAAGAGAGAGCTCTCCATTTATAGACTTTTCCAGGTATGTAGGCCTGGGCTTTAATGGTTTTGGGCCGAACCAATAAACTTGGGCTTTATGAACTTTGAGCCCAAGCCCTTTGAACTTGGGCTTTTGGCTCCCCTTCACTGTGAGTATATATATATATTTGGAATTAATTTTAAATTTAAAAGTATAAGGTTAAATTCAAATAACAAGATGGGGGTGGCCAGAGATGAGTCAGCAGGTGAGGACAAAATACACAGCCATTTCAAAATTC